TATATATATATATACAAAGTATATATATTAAAATAAACTACTACTTACTATGTGTACTACTAATCCTACTTCGCAATTTTTCCACTTATCGCAGGGCTTCAGGGTACGGATCCCCTGCGATAAACGAGGGACTTCTGTAAATCTAAAATCCTTATTTCTGCCTTAAAGTTCCAATTCTAAAAGAAAATTAAGACAAATTATATTACCTTAAGAAAGAGCACTCAAAACACACACTTTTCATGAACATTCAGCATGAAATGAAACAGAATGATATCTTTGAATTAATATTAAAATAACATGCACGTTAACTAAAGGAGGTGCTGTTGGACCATGGATTTCCTGCAAAGGAACTTAGTGAACAAAGTCTCCTTTTATGTTATCTTAATGGGAATGAGAGTCTGGGGAAGTACTCCTTTCCAGCTAAGGAGAGACATCAACATTCTGCTCAGATGTTTCAACTCAGGATCTTCAGGTTCATAGAAAGGCCTTTCATAGGTTAGTGAGTTCATTTGACAGGTTGGTACTGTCTTTCAGATGTTCAAATTTGGGAGGTTGTAAACTGAAACAAAGAATGTTTTAAAACATACATCTGTTCCAAAAGAATGGATCAGTCTTTTAACGCTTCAGAAAAACAGTTTTTGTTTCTTTTTTAAGAGGGGTCCCTCTACATGTGTCATTTTTAAAATAAAAACCATGTTCTTGTTTTTTGTTTTATGGCAGCAACACATCTGCAAAAAGCAGTTTTATGTGCAACAAAAGACTGTGAAAGTAAGAGGTAAGAATAAAAAACAGCTGGAGGAACATTTTATAGCAAATGAAGTTAATTATAAACAGGTCAGTCAGAGACCTGGGGATCAACAGAGACTTAGAGAGATTGAATCTGTCAGAAGGAAAGATGGGCACAGGTTCACCAGTCTGAGAAACACTGTTTAAAACTAGTGGAACAATTTCAGAATAAAGTTCCTGAATGAAAGACTGAATCTCCATGATCCCCAATTCATAATCTGATCCACAGATTAGAAGAATCGGTAGCAATCTCTGAGCTTAAAAGAAGAGGCTGAGATTGAAAAACAATTCAAAAGCCTGACTCTATCATGATACAGGTGTATTAGTGCCTTTAACATGGGTACTTTACACATCTGGAAAGACTCCATCAATGCAGAAAAGTATCTTAAATTTTTAGAACAACATCTGCTACCATTCATCTTGGGGAGTGGTGGTGCAGAGGTTAGAGAAGGTGGGCCTGTGATCGGAAGATCGTCGGTTCAAGCCCCAGTACCGACATCATCAAAAATGTGAGTGGGGTAGGTGAGGCACCCACACCTGCCCCCACCCTCATTTGCCCCACTCTGGGCCCTTGAGCAAGGCCCTTAACCCCCACCATCTGCTCCTCCGTGTGTCCTAGATAGCAGCTCTCTGCTCCACACAGAGGGCTGTGGCAGCTTGGTGGTCTGTGGTTGCGTCAGGAAGGGTATCAGGCGTAAAAATAACAACTGCCAAGTCTTCGTGCGACTTAGTTAGCTGTGGCGACCCCTGAAGAAGGGAGCAGCCGAAAAAAAACAAAATCTGCTACCATTCGTCAAATCCAGGATTGAAGAACAGCTAGAGTCCTCCATCAGACCAGAATGAGACGGCATTCAAATCTCCAACAACTGGTCTCCTCAGGTCCTGGACCTTTACAGTCTGTTGTTAAAGATGAGGAGATGTTTCAGAGGAGCTGGATCAACTTTTTACAGACGTGTTGCTGACATCTGAATCAAAATGAACTCATTTTCTCCTTTTTTTCTTTTAGTTTTTTTAAAATTGGTTCAGTTTCAATGTTTGATCTGTTCCGTTAATAAAATATGAGTTAATGAAATCTACAAATCATTGCATTCAGTTTTTATTTAAATTTTCAATGGGATTGTGTCTGCAGACTTCTGATGCTTCTTTCTCTGGATGAAGAGTCTTACTTGCCTGGTCCAGAACAGGACTGGTTGCCTGGTCCAGAACAGGACTGGTTCTGTCCCTGACGGTTCTGCTCTGAGTCCAGCAGCTGGTGCATCAGATGAACTGTGTGCCGCAGACGCTCCTCAGGGTAGATTTCTGCGATGCCTTGTACCCATGCAGGTATGTTTGCCATCTGCGCGCGGGTTGGACCTGTTGCCATGACGACCCGTCGGGCCTTTAGGATGCTGCCATCACGAAGATGGACTTGAAAGTGTTTGACCTTCTTCCGCTCTGTTCCCTGTTCTTCGGTCACAGGAAGGATTCTCTCAGCCGTTCCTCTCTGCAGGATCCGGTCCAGCTTGTATCTCTTCACCTGCAAGTAAATGACCCGCAAGGCCTGAGTCCTAAAACTGAGGCCTCGTGGGTCAGTTTGACCCAAGGTCAACAGGAGGGTCAAACACATCATTCCTACAAGATGATGAAGAGTCTGACCTGATGTCTGAAGAAGTCCACACTCAGTTTGGTTCCTGGCAGGCTGAATGATAAACTCTTCTTCAGGGTGGAGCTGACGTTCAGACGTTTCCTCTCCTTCCTGCCGAGACGCGCGTCGTTGAAAAACGCGTTTTCATCCAGGATGTGGATCTGATCTGGAAGGCTGCGGAGCTCCGCTGAACGCTCATGTTTCAGAACAAACTCCTGCAGAGATTTCTGCCACAGACAGACAGATTTACAGAAACCACAATTTCTGCTTAAATATAGAATCAATGCTAACAGCCGAATGTCTGCTGAAACATGCTGTAGAGGCTGAAACTGACCCGTCAACGCTCAAAGAACCAAAACGTTAACTCAAGGCTAAAAAAGAAATATGCTATAGTCGGATGGAACAAGTAACAAAGAACTAAAAGTAGCAAAACAAAAGTCAAAATTTAGCAAAAACATTGCTAAAAGTAGCAAAACACTAATCAAAAGTTAAAATAAAAAAGTGGTTGACAAAAGCTAAAAGTAGCAAAAGACTAGCTTAAAGCTAAAAATAGCAGAAGGCTAGTTAAAATGATGAAAAACCTCGCGTAAAGCTAAATGTTGGTAAATGAAAGCTAAAACTTGTTAAAAGCTGTAAAAATTTAGCTCAACCTAAAAGTAGCAACAGGCTAGCTACAAACTTAAAGTAGCAAACAGCTAAATAAAAGCTAAAAGTACAAAATGGCTGATTAAATGTTAGAAGGAGCAAAGTGGTAGCTAAAAGCTAAAAGAAGAAAAACAGTACCTAAAAGCCAAAACAGTAGCCAGAGGTTAACATTAGCCCAAACCTAAAAGTAACAAAATGGCAACCAGAAGTTCAAAATATCAAAAGACAAGCTAAAAGCAGCAAAAGACTGGCTTGAAGCTAAAAGTGGCAGAAGGCAATTAAAGGCTAGCTAAAAGTACAAAAAGCTGTCTAGAAACTAAAATAAATATAAATATTAGGTAAAAGATAAAAAAAAAAGATAGTTAAAGATTCACAGATGAAATAATGTGGTGAAAAGCCTAAAAAAGCTAAATGGAAGTTAAAAGTAGCAGAAAAGTAGCTAAAAGCTATAAGAAACCAAAACCAGAGCAAGTAGCTGAAGCCCAGAGAATGATGGTTTTGAAGGCATTGAGGGGATTCTATGTATTTAAAAACATATCTCTCTTGTAAATGAGTCATCGTGGCTCAGTGAGACTAACCTGTATAAATAAAGGATGAATTTTAAAAAAATTGCAAATAAAGTGGAATATTTTGAAAAGTATAAAAATGACAAAACTCAAACGTTACAACAGCCATTTGCAGACTGAGCCGAACGTTTTGATGTACAATGCTAGACTGGCACAAAGTCTCTGGAGTAGACCGCTATTAAATGTATGGAAAAATAAAAAGCAGGAAAATGACAGAGTGACGCTGACTCAGCATTCGGAGAGACTTTTCCTGGTGTCCGTTTCCAGGGAGGTTACCTGAGGTCGTACCTTATTGAAAGGGTCTGTGTGGACCAAGGTGTGTGAGCGCAGGTGAGGGATGCTCAGAGCAGCGAACTGGCTGTCCCACAGAGCAGCCCACTCCCCGTATGTGTCCACCACCAGGACACTGAGCGGGGGGCAAACCGACGGGTTCACCTCTGCCCGCTGATCCCTCGTCGACTGACCTGTTTGATCGTAAAACATCAGTAAACTGCAGCCCTGCAGGGTTTCCTTTATTTGTCTAAATCAGAACAAATTCATTTGTTTAGTGATTTGTTAAAACATTGAAGAACTCGGGCTGTTTCCTGGAGAAAACTGAGCGTTTATGTGATCAAACAGAGTTTATTAAAATATACAGGCCATCAGTAATTTGCTTAATGTGTCAAGATGGCAGCGCTGATCCAAATGGTGCTTTTTGGATGTTATTTGTGAGTATCTGTAGCTAGGTGGAGGGTGCAGCAGAAAGACTAGAAGAAGGTCTCTGATACCTGAAATATTAAATGTTATCGTTCAAAATAAAACTTTATGTGTTTGTTGTGAAACGGTTAGTTGTGAACTTTGGAAACTGAATCTTGATCAAGTTGCTCTGACCGTACCCCCAGCCGCTGCCTTCCTCTTCTTCCTGCTGCAGAGTCTGGTTTTAGGCACTTCAGGGCCCGACTGGGACCTCTGAGTGTCACCTCCATGGTCAGAGCCCGGATCTGGATCTGGTTCAGGTTCAGGGTCAGGGCCGGACAGCAGACTGGCCAGGGTCAAAGCGTGAGGGCCTCCACCTATTATTAACACCTCGAGCATCGAAAACACGACGGGGCAGAGTCAAGCGGCTCCTCGGGTTGAGTTTTAAACCGAAGAACGTGACGGACCGTCTGGAATAATCAGAGAACTTTCAGGAAGTTATTTAAAATGAAATCTCAGTATTTAAAATAAAAAAAATAACGTTTCTAATGTGAACGCAGTTCAGAGTTCACAGCAAAACGTCCAGAAGCAAATCCAGGTTCTGTGAGCCGTCAGACACCGTGCAGAATCCCCTGTTCCACCTGAGTACCTGCTGGATCGTCCCGCTCCGCGCTCTTCATGAAAACCCGTTCGGTTCTTCAGAACGTGCCACCGTGGACGGTGGTGCAGTGGCAGCTGTGTCTCTCCTGTAACTTAATCTGCTGGCGTTTGGACTTCTCTGGCTCAAGAGGCAAAGCTGAAAATAACTCCAGAATGTGTGTGTGATCGTCAAAAACACACCACAACTCATCCAGCACCAGAACATCGGAGCCAGTCCTCTTTGAAGCTCTTAATCTCAGTTTTTGTTTTATAATCCATCTAAATAATCTGAAAGTCTGATTAAGGGTAAAGTGCTTTATATATTTTATAAAATATAAATAAAGGGCCACATTCGTCTCGTTACAGATCGACAAATATGCAACAAGATCACGACTTGATGACACCAACACATCACCACGGCAGAGATGGAGTCCAACATTTTGTCCATAAATGTTTTGAACAGAACAAAACTGGTTTTGCAAACTTTCATGTCCCCCCAGGGACCCTGTTCAGTGTAATTAGCTTCTCCAGTGCTCCACAGTCAGGACAGAACCAGCATTGTTCCTCTTCAATCTGAGGTTCATCCATCGATCGGACTCTCTTCTCCAGAACCCTGAACACACTTCACCTGGGAGGCTGAAGAGTGATTTCAAAAAGCGTTCAATACAAAAGAAGAAGAAGAGTTTTGAAGAAGAGTTAATCACTGAAGAGTGATGGCCCTGCAATTGGAGCACACCCTCCAGTTCCCCTTTCTGAAAAAGGGAACCAAAACCCAGTCTGTCAATCCAGTGGCACTGCCCTCGATGTCCAGGTGAGATGTAAAGGCGTGTTAACCAAGACACACAGAGCCTTGAGGAACTCTCATGAACCCCTGGAGCCCTGGTGCCATGGAGCTTTTTAACTACCCAACTATGGACAGAGCAACCCCCAAGCCCCCCAACTCAGCTTCCTCCATGGAAGAAATGTTGGTGGGATTGAGAAGGTCCGAGAAGCATTGCTTCCAACAGCGTCGCTGGTTGAGGTCACACAGTGTTGGTAAAGTTCTGCTTTCTCTGCCTGATGGTTTGACAGAAACTTCTTGGAGCCAACTCCCACATCTGAGCTTTACCTCAGAAACAGCCATGACTGCAGTTGTGTGGATTATATTTCCTTGTTTGTCCTCTCCTCCTTGTGGCCTGTTCCTGCTCTCACACATTTTTCCTCATGTAATTAACACCTACCGTTCACCTGTCACTCCTCCCAGTTTCTGTTTACCCCTCGTTAGTGTTCCCATAAATCCCGCGTCTTGTCTTTGTTTCCACGTCTGAGGATTACCGTATTTTTTGCTGTATAAGTCGCACTTTTTTACATAAATTTGCAAGTCCTGTAGCTTATACACCCAAGCGACTAATATACTCCCCCCCCACCCCCCCACCCCCATATTTATAACTCAATGTTTGGCTAAGATCTGATGATTTCATTCATTCTGACATGGAAAATATTGAACACTACCATTTCATCCACTAGAGGGCCCACGACCAAAATGGCAAGCCAAGTGTCTCATTAATAGGTAAAAGTGGCTATTAGTGAGACACTTGTCTTGCCATACCAAGCCACTTTCGTCTCTCTACGGAACTCCTGGAGCAAACGTCAAATCAGCTGCATTTCGCTGCGCCACCCAGGTGAAATGCAGCTGATTGGACCATTAAAGAGACTTTATTAAGGAAAAGTTAAACCGAGAGACACTTTTGCTATAATGTCGAGCAAACAAATAACTGTTTTTAAGTGTTAATCGTTAAATTCTTGTTAAAGTCCTCCCGAATACACTCCCACGACCGCCATTTGGCAGCCAATTGATTTTTGGCACAACGCCAGCCCACTTTTCCGGGTTGTCAGCGGTGATGCATAATAGATGCGACTTATATGGCGAAGCGACTTATTTATGTTTTTTCCACTTTATTAGACATTTTTGGACTGATGTGACTTATACGGCAGTGCAACGTGTACGCGGCAAGTACGGTGTCCTCCCTATGTTATGGTCTGCCTCTGCTCCCCATTTGATCTCTCCTCGTACTGTATGTGGATTTTCTTTGTAATGAAACAGTTTAGTTATGTTGTTCCCTGCGTCTTGCCTGCACTCAACCACCATGACAGCTTGGCTTCCTGCCATCCAACAAGGCCCGAAAAGCCTTCCAAAATAAAAAAATTAAAACTTGAACACAGGCATCAAACCAGGGGTCTAAAAGTAGACCCACACCAGCTCAGCGCCTCTCACCACGGGCAACTCCAGAGTGGAATAAGGTCCAACCCCTGTCAAAGAGATTGTTGCAGAGCCCAAGCTGTGCGTCAAGTTGAGCCTAAATATATCAAGTTGGAACCTCTGAACCTCACACAGCTCACGTCCTTCCACCACAGAGGTGACGTTCTATGTTCCAGTAGTCCACCTCAGTGGGCCAAGGTCAGAACACCAAGACCCTCGCCTTTGACTGCCACCCATGGTACCATGAACCCGACTTGTATGGCCCCTCCTGCAGGTGGTGGGCCCACAGGAAAATATTATAAAATGGTTTTTACCCCTCTGGTACACTCTTATTAAAAACTATGTAATGTTTGTTTTTCATGAATGAAAAGAGCTTCTGTATAAAAGGAAGAACTGGATTCTTCTTCTCCTAATTCTTATGTAAACTGCAACATGAGACCGTTCTGTTCCTTCTTTTCTGTTCAGCATCTAATGTGATCATTTCATTCTCTAAGGTCGTCTCACAGGATCAAACCAGTACTTCATTGATTCAAGTTTTTGGGAAATTGCAGCAACTGACATAACTATAACAAATTTTTTATTGGTATTTTACTGCCAATTGTTATCATGCTTTTATTTATTAAACTCAATTTTATTTCTTTGATCATATTTTTATCTATGATGTTGTAATTACTGTGGAGCACTTTGGTCAGCTGAGGTTGTTGTAATAAACTTTGACTTTGAGGATCAGTTTAGTTAAAAGTGCAGACGTTAACGTGCTGTTTCTCCACACACTGTTTTCAAACGGGTCGGCTGAGGGAGGTCAAGTCTCTCGTTTGGGAACTTTCTGAACTAACGGCAGTTAGAAATGATTTTTCCATTTATTGACCAAGTTCTGTTTTTACAACTAATTAAACTTTGTGTCTCTGTGTTTCTTTTACCCACTTCCTCTTCAGAAACCAGTTCCCCATCTACAAACGTGCTGGTGGATCCTCATTCCCACTTCTCTCTCGGCAGGTGTATAAACATCGAACGTTTCGAAAGGCACCTTGTTTTCTTCAGTGTTTCAGCTGCAGCCAACATGGACGTGAAGGTGGGGGGGTCATCACAAAGATGCTTGTTTCTTTAGTTTAAACCGGATGTCGAGACGAGCTGAAGTTGTTTGTGTTGCAGGATTCTCCGTTACACGGAGGCGTGATCATTTCACACCAGATCCACGAAGGGAGGCACCACTACGAGGTCAAGAAGGTGATGAAGTACAAGAAGGAGAGCGGGAAGAAAATGTTTGTCAGGTAGGTCCGAACTCTTCTCAGCTCTGCATCGCCGACTGCTTTGGGTACACGTTGGTCCAAAACATTAAAAAAAATCTGAAAATAAAAGCAAAGACTCGGATTATTTTTCTGCACATGAGATAAAATGGACAAAGTTTCATTGGAGGCACAAGTCTTAAAAATATTAAAACAACTTGAAACTATTTTCATTAAGCCCTCCTGCTGCCTTTGGGTCAAAATGACTCACAAGGCCTCAGTTTTCAAAAGTCTTTGTGTAACTGCAGGACACCGAGTGGTTTGTTTTACCTTTAACATGAAAGTGTTTCAAAGAACTGCTCTGATTTATGTAAAGTTCACTAAAATATTGTTTATTGTCACCAACAGACTGGCAACCACAATCCCATATTTTTGTCTGTGTGTGTATATTTTATTGTTTTTCTCAGGAGAGGCGACAAACTGATGGAGATCAACGGTCTGGACCTGCAGAATCTCACACCTGAAGAGTTGGCCCAACAGATTTCTGCAGGAAGACCCATGCTGGTGGGTTCTGATGGCTTTTAACGGACTCTTTACAAAGAAAAAAAGCAGAACCACTTCAGATTTTTATCATCACACCGCCTCCATGAAGGGCGAGCAATCATGTCTGTGTCTGTTAGTAAAATATCTCATGAACCAGGGGCTCTATTGACTGTTAGGTCAGGGATGGTCGCCACAGCTGATCGACCTTAGCCAAAACTATATTAGGTACAACTCAGTCCATTTTACAGATATGGAGCAACAATTTGTGGTGGAAGCTGAGCATCATCCCCAAAACACAATCTGAGCACAAAGAGATCAGTTGATGTTTTTTATTTAAATGTGGAACTTTTAAAACTTTCACATGCACTGCAGCGGGTGCTTCTTGTGGGTAAAAGCCTGTATAAATATGTTTTTGAATTCTGGTTTTGTTTTTGTCCTTTGCTCCATGTGTTTCTAATCATTTGTTTCTTTTCTGGTTTACTTAAATAAATAACAAGAGACGGGACGGGTTGTCTTCTCTGTTTGTCCAGACGGTGCACAAGTCGGCAAAGGAGAAGCTGCAGTTTGTTCCTGAAGACGACGTTTTACAGCCTTTCTCCAAGGAGACCACGGTGCTGAGCTTCTCCTGGGAGATGATAAGAGAGGAGGAGGAGGAGGAGGGACAGGAGAAGGAGACGAATACAGACAAGGACGTTTGTCCAATCGAAGACAACGGTGAGGACTCGGACCTGCTGGTCATCACTTTGACCCAGACCAGCATCTCTGTGGTGAGTGGGCGGGGCTGCAACAGCGAGGGTCCATGTCAGGGCTGTCACGAGAAGGGATGCACCTTCAAAGACGTCATCATGGTGTCTGAGTCCAGCTCCGTGACCCTCGGTGAGTCTTCTGTTCTGTTTTCTCAACATTCTGATGGATAACTGATTTGCTTTGCAGTCGTTTAGAAAATAGAGCATTTTATTTTAAAGTTATATTAAGTTTAATTTAAAACTATATTCTTTCCGGTGACTTTAAATTCAATTTGTTTTGTTTCTGCTGAAGTATTTAGGTTTCATGTTGAATGAAACTGGTATTTATTTATGGGGGGGCATTTGTAAAGTTACACAGTCAAAAATTAACAGCAATATTTTGGTTTATTTAGTCTTTTATAAGAAAAAATATATATTTTTTCAATGTCAGATTTTCACCATGTCATTCATGCATTTATAAATGTCATAGTTCCAAACCAAATATTTAGTTTAAAAGCTAAATATTTAGTTTACAACCTAATACTTAACTTGCAAGTTAAATATTTAATTAGGAACTAAATATTTAGGTGTAAATTAAATATTTAATTTCCAAGCTAAATTTTTATTTTCAAAACTAAACATTTAATTTCCAAACTCAATATTTATTATCTAAGCTAAATATTTAATTTCCAAACTAAACATTTAATTTTTAAGCTAAACATTTAATTCCTAAACTAAATATTTAATTTACTAACTAAATACTTAGCTCGGGCCTACATTTTTATTTTCCAAGCTAAAAATTTAATTTCCAAAATAAATATTCAATTTGATCACTATTTAGCTCAGACCTAAATATTTATTTTTCAAACTAAATATTTAATTTAGTTAATACATTTTTGTAAATTAAAAGTTTAGCTTGGACATAACCATTTAGTTTGTAAACTAAACATTTAGTGTGGAACTAAACATTTAGCTTGCTAACTAAATATTTAACTTGCAAGTTAAGTTTTTAGTTTGTAAACTAAATATTTGGCTTGTAAATTAAACATTTAGTTTGGAACTCTGACATTTAATGTTTGAATGACATGGTGAAAATATGACTGAAAAAAAAAAGAAGCTTTTTTTTTTATGAAAGGCTAAGTAAACCAAAAGATTGCAGCTAATTTTTGACTGTGTAACTTTACAAACAGCATCCCATATAAGTTAAGTTTGATTTTTTAGGCTAATAAAACTGTAAACTTTGTAAACTTCTTGTTTTTTGTTAAAATGGTAATGAAGGTGCCTGAACAAGACTCACTGATTTGTGACTCCGAATTTCAGGAAAACACGTGAACTTTCCGTTGCAGTCTCACTGAACGCGGCCAGGTTTTATAAACCACGTCGTATTTTTGATAAACTGCAGTTTTGGTCGTGAACATTATTTAATGTCCACCTCCACCGATATTGTCCCCACCTCAGCAGCCTCCATGTTTAATATTTGATATGCTGGACTTTAGAAATGCTTTCAATAAGCTTTGTCACGGTAGTTGGACCGAAGAATGCTAACACGAGGCGCTCCAATAAAAACAAACAAACTTTATTCAAAGAATAACCAAAAGGCTAACGTGGTAGAAAAACAACAGAAAACTTGAGGAGACTCGGAGGAGGCACAAGGAGAACCAGACGTGGCACAAAGCACACACTGCTGGAGTACAGAGGAATGGGTGGTGAAGAGATGGGAGACAGCCGAGCTAACTGAAACAAGGAACAGGTGTGAGTGGGCGAGGCAGGAGCTGAGGAGCAGAAACTGACAGAGAACAAAGTTCGGGGGAAAAATGAACTGACGGCAGGAAAAGCACAGACGGACAGAAACAAAACGCAAAACGCAGAAAATTAACGTAGGAATATTGTTGATATTAGGATGGGAGATTTGTTGGAGACAAACTTGTATGGGGTGCTGTTTGTAAAGTTACACAGTCAAAAATGAACATGAATATTTTGGTTTATTTAGCCTTTCATAAGAAAAATAACCTAGTAACATCATATTTTCATCATGTCATTCATACATTAATAAAATGTCATAGTTCCAAACTAAATATTTTATTTACAAGCTAAATATTTAGTTTACAAACTAAATACTTATCTTGCAAGTTTAATATTTAGTTAGCAAGCTAAATATTTACAAAATAAATGTTTATGTGCAAGATAAATGCTTAATTTACAAACTAAATATTTAATTTCTAAGCTAAACATTTAATTCCTAAACCAAATATTTAATTTAGCTCAGACCTAAATATTTATGTTAAAATCTAAATATTTATTGTCCAAGCTAAATATTTAAATTCCAAACAAAACATTTGATTTCCAAACTAAACATTTAATTTCTAAACTAAACATTTAATTCCTAAACTAAACATTTAATTTGCTAACTAAATATTTATATTGGACCTAAATATTTATTTTCCAATCTAAACATTTAATTTCCAAAAATAAATATTTAATCTGTTAACTAACTATTTAGCTTGGACCTAAATATTTATTTTCCAAAGTAAATATTTAATTTGCTAACTATATATTTAACTTACAAGTTAATTATTCAGTTTGTAAACTATTTAGTTTGGAACTTTGACATTTATAAATGTATGAATGACAAGGTGAAAACATGACTTTGAAGAAAAAAACAACTATTTTTTTCTTATGAAAGGCTAAATAAACCAAAATATTGATGTTAATTTTTGACTGTGTAACTTTACAAACGGCACCCCATAACCTTGTGACTATTTCAAGAGAAAAATTAATTGAAAGTTTTGGAACATGTTGAAAACAAGCGGAGGGCTGTGCACCTCTAAGACCCACTGAAACATTTCAGAGACCCACGCACCCCTCGAGTCATGATCCATTATCCTGTGTTTAATTTTCTGGTTTGAAGTTTAGTTCTTTGTGTTCAGTTTGTTCCTTCGCCTCCCTCTGTTTACAGCCGCCTCGGGTGTCCTCCTCTCTGCTCCTCAGTCCTGCCCCGCCCACCTGCACCCGCTCACCATTCCCATCAGTCTCAGCTGCAGCCACTTCCCTCATCACTCCAGATGTTTTAGTCCTTCTTCTTCCCCTCACCAGTTGTTCTTCCATGCCACGCCTCCTCTCCTCCAGCCTTCTCCTTGGTTCCTGTAGTTTTTGTTGCCACCTCAGCCTTTTCTTTAGTTTGAATAAAAGTTAAGTTTCATTTTCACGACTCCTCGTGTCGGTCTGCATAACCGTAACTCCGCCAACTTCTCACCAGCAGTTTCTGTCCAGTGAGGGACACGTTTCACTGTAATTTGGTCAAAACTGATCATTAACTCCTCAGAACTCATTTTTGTACAAGCTGTCACGGATCAATTAAACATTGACGTGAAACTCGACCTCAGCAGAGTTCAAATCAGTGACAATGCAAAGCCTTTTATTCACCACTAAGCACTTTAAATTCTTACAGATCTATGATGTCGTGCAAATACTACAAACTACAAAAACACTTTTCCAAATGTTGCATGATGTATTTTTTTAATAGAATAATTATTTTACTGTAAGAACTAAATCAAAGCGTGTTGTGTGTTGGAGTTGGGCTCAGTCTGAAGGACATTTATGACACATACGTTTCCATCTCATTTAAAATAATTAAAACTAGCACTTTCTGTGTCTGGACGTTAGTTCCCAGAGGAGATGTCAGTTTGAAACAGACAAAACTGGCAGAAGTTTTTATTAAGCACGTACCGACTCATCGTTTCCTCCGAGGTATCTGCTCGGACCGGACTTTGTATTCGTCGCCAAACCCAGGTGAGACTTCCACAGCACAATGCGACAGACTTCATTATTTTAATTATGTTTTCCAAAATCACAATCTGTTCTTTGTGTTGTCCGTGTTCAGAGAAGATCAGCATTTACTACTACAAGTCAAATGACATGTCTCCGACGTTCAGAGGAATGCCGGTGGTCCTGAACCTGACGGGCTCCAACTGCTTTGTTAGATGCTGCAAGGAGGGGAATAAGTTGTTCCTACAAACTGAGGTAAATCACTGGAAAACATAGATTATTGTATTGTTTGTTTGTTTATGGGGCTTTTTTGCGATGAACCTAAACGCACCAACAGATACTGAACCTAAAATGACAAAACCTTGTGAAAAACGTACGTCTCTTTTACATTTGATGACAACCCTGCTCGCCTCCTGCGATGGATGCAGCCTGCAGGATGTAGCCTGGCTGACCCACACACCCAGAGAACCTCCTTTGGTATGAAGGCCATCATGATGCTGCTAGACCAGGGGTCTGCAAACTGCGGCTCTTTGGTCCATCTACAGCGGCTCTTTCAAGCTTTGAGCAAAACTAACATAAAACTGAATTTTACTGGATGTTATACTAAAATAAGTCTTCCTGTCATTTTTTATATTTTTGCAAATATGTGAATAGTAGAACAATAAAAAGAGTAGAGCATACTCACTATATTTATTAACATTTATTTAACCAGGCAAATCCCATTGAGATTTCTCTTGTAAGGGAGGCCAGGACCTGCAGGCAGTCTAACATGCACGTTTTTGTTCTGTGGGAGGAAACCGGAGTACCCGGAGAGAACCCACGCAACACGAGAAGAACATGCAAACTCCACACAGAAAGACCCCAGGTTCAACTGGGGATTGAACCCAGGACCTTCTTGCTGTGAGGCAACAGTGCGAACCACTGAGGCATCTTTATCTCTTAAAAGTAGGATACTTCATTTTTCCACAGTAAAAAATAAAATCATAGGCCTGCATAGTTCATTGTTTAAAATTATCCAAAACTGTTCAAATCTATATTTTTCTTTTCTTTCTTTCCAAAAATCTGGTCTTTTCTTTTGCCTTAAAATGCACAAATATCAAATGTTAAAAACAACTGGATGTTTTTAGTTTTTCTCTACTGGCCAGAAAAGCCCCCTCCAACTTAAAGTGGTCCACGAGCCACCAGTTGATGATCACAGTTGTACCAGATTGTTTTGGCTCCAGTCACTTCAATTAGTGAACAAAGAGGCAGGAACAGCTCTTTTGATCGTAACGGTTGCAGACCCGCGTCAAACTCTTGGTACTCGACAAATTCGTCGTTCCTTCCATTTTCTGCGTTCATAAAACGCTCTCCTTCACTCTTACCTCTGCAGATCAGCTGCATGTTCCCTCAGCACCACAGTCATGCTTGCACCAGGTTCTGCTCCAAGCGGAGTTCAAGTATCTTTGGGTTTTGTTCTCAGTGCCGTGTTCCAGACAGGTCCGAATGGAAGAAGACCTAGGGAAGACCCAGGACACTGTCCAGTCTCAGCTGGTCCATGATCCCCCTAGAACAGAAAACACTGCCACCACAATAAATCCTCACAACGTGTTATAATCTGTTTGTTTACTTTATCTTTTGATTTTATTTCTGTGGTTTATGTTTTCATGCCCCTCGTGTTTTGATTCAGCCCCCGTGTTCCCTGTACCAGTCCTCACCCTCAGTCAGCCTCCATATTGCATCTCACTCAGCTCATCACTCTCACCTGTTTCCCATGATCACCCAGGTGCGTCCACTCCCCCCCCCCGCAAAAACACACTCGTCCCTCCCCCCACCCCCCACACACACACACACACTTTATATGGTTTCTGATCAGCAGTACATTCTCCTGAAACATCATTCAGTCTCGCTCTTCTTTGTGCCTCTCCGTTTTCCCTCCTGAAGTTTTATGTTGCTGATAATGTTATTTAATAAACAAGTTTATTTTTACTCGAGCTCCTCACGCCTGCACCTGGGTCCAACCATACACCGACCATTCTCCAAACCCTTTATGCTATAATGAGAAGCCCCCCCCCCCCACAGGCCTCACTAAGATGCTGCTTGAAGTTCACACTTTCTGCCTGATGTTCTGCACCATTGCAGAGTCACCATCAGTGTGAAACGGACCCAGCAGGACCTCCTGCAAACATCTGGCCGCTGTAAACTGAAACTTCACTGAAACTTCACTGAAAGTTACCGCTGATGTGAGAAAACCACGTTTAGAAACCTGAGTAAAGTGCAGGATTCAGCACCTAAATCAGCTAAATTTAGTTCAGGATGCACATTTTCTGTTGCTTTTTGCAAACTGCTGCAACACAAAAGGGGCAGAAGACGCCATCCAAACACTTTAATGCTCCCTGTACACGGGAGGGGGGGGGGGGGTGCAAGACGTAAGGGCTCATACACACAAACTGCAACAAGTTGAACCCTGTTTGGTTGTAACTACCAAGCAGTGCGTCTTAGCCACAGTTTGAATGTTGTGTGTCTGTCAGAGAAGAGCTCTGGCAGCAGCAATGTTTGTTTAAAATATCCTCAGAGTTCAGACATTTTAGGCTCTTAAACTACAGCTACTGTGCAGCTCTTTACCCCGGCAGGACAGCCTGCTAGTGTTGGAAGAGACGCACCGAGATCCATATAAAGAAACAAAAATTAAATCAGCTTGATGGGATCGATGTGTGTCGATGGACACACCGACGCCAGGATTGGCGTGTTGCTGTGTGAGATTCCTTCAGGTGGGTTTTGTTCTGAAAGCTGAGCTCAGTGCACCACATTCACCAACACTGGCCTGGAAGCTGTGGACACGGGACCTTTACGCAGTATTCCTATATTTTTAGCAGAATTTTTGTTCGACATGGTTTACGATCAATAATTTAACAGAACTGTGATTAAAGTCCGTGGGGAAAAAAAGAATTTAAAGCTTTTGTTTCTTTGGTGGGCGGCACAGTGTCTCACAGTTGGTAGAGCTGCCACCTCACAGCGAGAAGGTCGCTGGTTCAAATCCCAGCCTGGAGCCTTTCTGGGTGGAGTTTGCATGTTCTCTCCATGCATGCGTGGATTTTCTTCAGGTACTCCGGTTTCCTCCCACAGACCAAAAACATGCATGTTAGGCTGATTGGTAACTCTAAATTGTCCCTAGGTGAAAGAGAGAGAGTGAATGGTTGTTTATCTCTGTCCCTGTGATGGACTGGAGACCTGTCCAGGTGTCCCCCGCCTCTTGCACGATGACTGGATATGGGCACCAGTGACCTCCATGACCCGAGAAGGAAGAAGTGGGTAAAGATAATGGCTGGATGTTTCTTTGGTCTGTACTGCAGCATGACTTTTACGTACCAACTCTGTGGTTTTGTTTTTGGCACAGTAACATAATCAGACACGCTTTTTTTGTGTGTGCTTGTTCTTTTTTGAGACGTTTTCCATGTTTGTCCTCGTAGATGTGTGAAAAGCAGAGGCTGAGGCAGATCTCCAAGAGCGACCAGTGCGCCTTCTCCTTCGTCTTCTACATGAAGGGCGACCGCACGAGTCGGCGACAGTTTGAGTCGGCGCTCTACAAAGGCTGGTTCATCCAAATCGCCAACAACAATCTGGTGGACGTGGCCGAGCCGAAGGAAGAGTGGGATTCATCCTTCCTCTTCATCATCCAGATGTGACGCAGTCGGTTTCTGCAGAGCGACACTCACCTCAAACCCAAATCAAGACCGTTAAATATTTATTTGTGATGAAAAATAATAAAACATAAAAACGAAACAGTGAGAAAATCTTTTACTGGCTTTATTTACAGTCCAACAGATGCGAGTCTGGATCAAAACGTTTTATTTAACTAATACTTGTAAAACCATTTTTTTTTTCAGTCTTGTTTATTTATAATTTTAACTACAGAGGATGCATCTAAACAAATATTTAAACTAATTACAGTTAAATAAATTTTTATGTACATTTTTATGAAATATCAAGTTCAATGGCGGGCAGCACGGTGGCGCAACTGGTAGAGCTGCTGCCTCTCAGCGAGCAGGTCCCTGGTTCAAACCCCGGTCCAGGGGCCTTTCTGGGTGGAGTTTGCATGTTCTCTCCGTGCATGCGTGGGTTTTCTCCGGGTACTCCGGTTTCCTCCCACAGTCCAAAAACATGCATGTTAGGCTGATTGGTAACTCTAAAATTGTCCCTAGGTGTGAGTGAGAGAGTGAATGGTTGTTTGTCTCGTTTGTCTCTATGTGGCCCTGTGATGGACTTGCGACCCGTCCAGGGTGTACCCCGCCCCTCGCACAGTGATTGCTGGACATGGGCACCAGCGACCCCCGTGACCCAAAATGGAACAAGCGGGTAAAGAAAATGGATGGATGGATGGATGGAAGTTCAATGGCATGCAGTACAAAGTACAAGAGCTTAAAAATCCAACTAAAAAGTTCTATTTATACATAATCTAGACAGTTTGTTGAGTCCGTTTGATCCCATTTCAGACCACCAATGAAATATTTAATTACAGAACTCTTTGATCAATTTAAAGTCCATCAACAACAAAATAATAAAAACAGATTAAATAAACTTTAAATCCAGTCTAAACTTTGGTAATAAACAACATCAGGTGCAAACATTTAAACCCGTATTCACACATTAATCAATATATAAAGGCATTTTAAACCCGTCATACACTCTTGCAATATTCTAAACAATGTTTCTAAACTCTAAATGCTCTAAACGAGCACAGAATGTCATGATTTCCTTCTCTCTACCTCCGCTGCTCTCAGTCACCTGCAAGCATTCTTGGCCACGCCCACTTCTCTGCTCTGCATGGAGATCAGCTGATCAGCTGCAGAAGGATACTTCTCCCACAGCTGTGGGCTGCACACAGGTGCTAAATCATTTAAAAATTATTTATTTGAAATTAAAAATCCATGCCGATCCTGCGGCTCATCCATCAATCAACCAATTGTCATGTCCAAACTTACTTTGAAAAACCGCGACAAAGTGAGTCTGCGATAAACAAACTAAAAAGTAGCGAGGGACTACTGTGTATATATATATATATATATATAAACTACTACTTACTACTTGTACTACTATTCCTACTTTGCGATTTTTCACTTATCGTGGGGCTTCAGGGTACGGATCCCCCGCCATAAACAAGGGACTACAGTATACATAAAAACACTAAAATAAATTACATGTTGGGCAATTATTTGGCAAACTGTCATGCCTTTTTGCTTTCACACATATATTCACAGTTTACAGGGACGTTTAGAGGCTAGAAGACGGAAAAAGCGAGACGAATCCTGTCGTCCAGGCTCCTCATAACCCAGTCTGTTCGTTGTCACTTTCCTCGTAAGCTTTGTTGCTGAGTCCGTCCAGGTTTACGTCGTACGGATTCTCCACAACTGCCTTTGCAGATTTCCTACAAACACACACACACACACAAAAAACAACATTTGCCATCAAAGCGACTGGTCAGCATGTTTGGTCATTCTTAAAGCAACACTCACTTCTTGCGCGCTCTGACACCAGATGCAAGAATGTAAACACCCAGCAACACCACGATGACCATGAGCACGCCGAACGCCACCAGCCACACCTCCACCGGCTTCTCGTTGGGCGCCGCCAGCGTTGGGTGGATTCCCACAAACTCCAGCGTCCAGTCGTCCAACTGGAAGGCTTCATTGATCCGACCGCGGCTCAACCTGGGAAGAACAAGGACCTTTTAAAAAAAGTTTGGTTTCAAGGTTCGAGGCTCTTTATTGTCATCCGCATCACATGTAGTACACGAGGTGGAACGAAATTGTGTACTCAAGGTCCCAGTTACACCCCAAAATAGCAAAAATATAAAGTATTTGAAAAAGAAACAGTATACAAGGATCTAAGATATACTCTAGACAATAATAATATAATGTGATATATTAAACAGCAGCCTGAATATGAGTCTGTTGTGAACAGATGGGTATGAATACATCAACTTATGGGTAAGAGATCAGCAGCAAAGATAATCAGCAGCACAGATAAAGTGAAAAATCTCCAGTTAAAGTGGCATTACAGTGATTTTTCTGGTTAGAGATTCATGAGTCTAACAGCCTCAGGGTAGAAGCTGTTCCTCAGTCTAGTGGTTCTACACTTAATGCTCCTCAACCTCCTTCCTGAGGGGAGTGGGACAAAAAAGTGTGTGTGCTGGGTGAGTGGGGTCCTTCATGACGCAGGTGGCCCTCTTGGTGTAGATGTCTGTGATGGTGGGGAGACCGACTCCAACAGTGTTCTGTGCAGCCTTCACCACTCTCTAGAGAGCTTTTCTTTCTGCAGCTGTGCAGCCTCCATGCCACACGTTGATGCTGGAGCACAGGATGCTCTCCACTGCACACCTGTAGAACCCGTCATCTGTAGTCGGGTTGAGAAGGAACCAGGTCCAAGAGAGAAACCCTGACCTCTCTCTCCTCAGAGACCCTCTCCAGCTCCTCCTGGGGTACCCGAGGTGTTCCCAGACCAGAGACGATACACAATCCTTCCAGCGAGTGTTGAATCTGACCCAGGGTTTCTTCCCAGTGAGACATGCCTGGAAATCTTCCAAAGGGAAACGTTCTGATCAGATGAACCTCCTCAACTGACTCCATTAATTTTGAAGGAGCGGCAGCTCTACTCAGAGCTCCTCATCCATCTCCAAGCCTGAGCCCCGCACCCTGTGAAGGAAGCTCATTTCAGCTGCTTGGATTCAGGATCTGGTTCCTGATCCAAACATCAAAGTTCATGCTCAATCTTCCAGGTAAAAAATCCAACATTGTTCAGTCAGGCCATCTGGACTGTTGCTTTTTTTGTTGAGAGACGTTTCACCCTCCAGCCGAAGGGCTTCATCAGTCTGAGAAGTTACATACAAACTACAAAAAAGGTTGAATCATGTCATCTGGACTTCGTTTTTTTTGTTAAAAAAGAAAAGTTTCGCCCCTCATCCAAGAGGCTTCGTCAGTCTGAGGCCTAGCCATCTGGTATTACCCAGAAGCCACCCTGACTCTTGTGTTTCAAGCCTGCCTCAGATACCCCTGAAGTCTGGCCTTTTCACTAATGGTTTCAAAAACACAAAGTTTGTTTTCTCAGTCATCCAGGTATATAACAACAAAAAAGGTCGAATCATGTCATCTGGACTTCGTTTTTTTTGTTAAAAAAGAAACGTTTCGCCCCTCATCCAAGAGGCTTTGTCAGTCTGAGGCCTAGCCATCTGGTATTACCCAGAAGCCACCCTGACTCTTGTGTTTCAAGCCTGCCTCATTCATTGATTCAACCTTTTTTGTTGTTATATACCTGGATGACTGAGAAAACAAACTTTGTGTACATACAAACTGTTTTCTCCACCAAGCAGAACACTCCTACAGTGGACCAACCAGTTTGCTGGTGATAAGATGGTTTCTGGGGGCTGTCCTCTCCCCCGTCGACTCCCCCCATTCTACCACAGCCAAAGTGGTTCAAGACATCGAGGTTCAAGCTCATTCCTGATCCAAACTTCCTGACCGCAGGTGAGGGTTGGAACGTAGACGAACCAGTACATCCAGAGCTTTGTCTTTTGACTCAACTTTTTCTTCGCCATGATTGACCAAAGCAATTGCCTCATTACTGAGGAGGCCTCAATTTGTCAATCCATCTTTCGCTCCATCCTACCACCACACAGGAACAAGACGTCCAGATATCAGAACTCCTCATCTGAACTGAATGTCTCTTTTAAGGGAGACCTGGTCAACATGGCACGATGTTAGAAAATTAAAAGCTGAAATTTTAAACCATCACCAAAATCCATAAAATAAATAAACAAAACAAAATACAAAAATGCATCCGTTTGAACTTTTACCAGAGACCAAATCATTCCTCTTTAGTTTGGACCGAAGATTATTCCATGGCCAAAAGAAGAGAACGCCGTCCCACAAAGAAAACCCTGGAACATCTAAAGAGGAGCCAACTCAAAGACTCGGACTCAGAACTGGTTTTAAAAAGGTTAAAAAAAATACAATTTACACAGGCAAGATTAACCAGAAGAGCTTTGAACAACAAGCCGTTTTCTCTTTAGACTTAAAGACATTATAATGTAACGAATACAATGATGCTAGTATACAAATATTTTCTTACAAAACACAAATGACAAAATACAGAAACTAAACAACAAAGTGAGGAAGAAACAGAAAAAAAGTCTCCATGCCTGAACAAGTTTTTGTTCTCTCCGATAAAGACAGGCCATAAAAGTCCCAACCAAACCATCTGCTTTTAAATGTAGACTTTAAAGGAGACCATAGTCCAGACCAGGGATCTGCAACGTTTACGGTCTAAGGAGCCATTTTTGCTCCAGAGCCTAAAACTGTACTCAAAGTGTAAAATAAAGCCAACATCACCCATCAAGTGTTCTATAAATGAAACAAGTTGCATCAAATAATTAAAGATTTTTAATAAAAATGTAGACATCTTGGTGTTTTTACATGATAAGACAAAGAAAATGATTCATTTAGAAGCAAAAAACTGTTGGTTCCCCACCCCGTTTGATAAAATGTAACACTGAACTACGCAGCCAAAGTCATTATTTTTATAATAAAGTTTATACTTTAAGTTCTTAATGTAAATATAAAGAAACGACAAGCTGTTTCATTTTATCAGAAATTTATTCATGTATTCACAGAAAACTGCAGAAACTACTTTATGAACCGAAATATTTATAATGTCTGTATTATTTTTGGTCAAAGTTACAAAGAGCCACTGCAGAAGGATCAAAGAGCAACATGTGGCCCCAGAGCCATGACAGATCCCTGATCTAGACTAAATAATCAAATATATGTAGGAATTTTGATTAAATCTCCCCACTGAAGGTTCAAATGCCAATATTCTCTAAGATACGGGAAACAACATGTATTTGGTTTTATTTACATTAAACTTCACTGTGTTGCCAGAAGTCGCTGGAGTTCCAAAACAACTGTGCTTAGAGAAGACTCAGCACAGTACAGTGTACAGTGTACAGTGTCGTCTGGTAAAGAGGCTGTCGCTCATGTAAAGAGGCTGTCGCCCACGTAAAGAGGCTGTCGCCCACATAAAGAGGCTGTCGCCCACATAAAGAGGCTGTTGCCCACATAAAGAGGCTGTCGCCCACGTAAAGAGGCTGTTGCTCACGTAAAGAGGCTGTCGCCCACGTAAAGAGGCTGTCGCTCATGTAAAGAGGCTGTCGCTCATGTAAAGAGGCTGTCGATCATGTAAAGAGGCTGTCTATGACTGCCAATCATAGCTGTCGCCCAAGTAAAGAGGCTGACGCTCATGTAAAAAAGCTGTTGATCGTGTAAAGAGGCTGCCGCCTGCGTAAAGAGGCTGTCGCTCACGTAAAGAGGCTGTCGCTCGCATAAAGAGGCTGTCGCTCACATAAAGAGGCTGTCGCCTGCGTAAAAAGGCTGTCGCCTGCGTAAAGAAGCTGTCGCTCGCGTAAAGAGGCTGTCGCCTGCGTAAAGAGGCTGTCGCTCGCGTAAAGAGGCTGTCGCTCGCGTAAAGAGGCTGTCGTCTGCATAAAGAGGCCGTAGTCTACATAAAGAGGCTGTCTATGACTGCCAGTCATAGCTGTCGCCAACGTAAAGAGGCTGTCGATCATGTAAAAAGGCTGTCGATCATGTAAAGAGGCTGTCGCCTGCGTA